ATCGTTGGTGAGTGTTGGGGCTCATCATCGTTGCCGTTGAGTGTTGAGATTTAATCTTAGAAATATGACATACTTATGAGGTTAAAGACACTTATTGATCCACCTAAATCACGTGAGGTGAGAGAAGATATGAAAATTTCATACTTAAATAATGTTTAAAGAAATTAATGTGTTCTGACCACATTCGGTGAGAAATGAGAGATAATTGTTTAGTTCCCTTATGATTATTCTTATTAAATTATTTAACTAAAATTTTCCATTTATCAGAGGAAGTGACCGTTCATGGTAAAACGGAACACAATATAATTATTCGAAAAGTGATTTGCCTCTTCCTTTTCCTTTTCTCACTTTCAAACATAAATAATGTGGTGAAATTGGATGGAAAATGCTCCCTCTCTTTCCACGAAAATTCTGCCCTTATATCCTTCATTTTCCCTTTCCCTTTCCCCTCTCCTTCCTTCCTCCCACTCTTCAATCCTATCACAAGGATCATTATATATTCAGATAACAACATGCTAAAAATCGAGAAAATCAGCCCCAACATGTTTATTGGGATGGCTTTATATAATTTTAAGGAGCTAATTTATGGTTTAGGTCCTCGTCCTGTTTATATGATTTTAATTGCAATTAATATTTCAATCCAATTTTCAATTCCTCTATTTCCTTTCCGTGCAAATTGTACATGAAGCAATTTTAAATTTCAAAGTCTCAATCTCTCACAAATCACAACTTTGTCTACTTGAAATTTGCAAAATAAAGGTAAGTGAATTCTCCTCATATTGAGAGTTAGACATTCTACTGCCTTTTAGGTGACTAATCAATTTTCTGATGGAGAATATGATTGTTTTTTAGACAAAACACTTATCAACAAAAAGTACATACAACTATCAAAATATGTAATTTTAGTATTTTACTATGTCTAGATAAATTGCTAATGATGATATCTCTTATTATTTTCATTAAATTGGGTCTAACCCTACCAACTCACCCCACCATGAGCCATAAGGCCCATGAGAAACTTTTTTTAAATTGAGCATTTTACTGAGGCAAATGATACTTGAACAGGAACCAAAAAAAAAAAAAGATTGATACTTGAAGAGAAAAGTGACCTCTATTTTTTCTCTGCCCTTTGTTGAATTCTTTGTTCCAAGTTTAATGAAACTTAAGTTTAGACCTTGACTGATACACGGCCACAAATTTCTCCAATATCCAATCAAATAGTACGTAATCAGGCGTTCAACAACACTCAAGGATATTAATGTTTTGTAGTTATAGTTTCTTTTGAAATCGACGGAAAAAAAAAAAAAAAATTGTACAGCTAAATGCGCATGACAAATAAAGTAGAGGAAAAAATTATTATTCCCTTAAAAGTGAGAAGAACAATAATATATATATATATATATATATATATATATATATATATATAATAAAAAAATCTCTAGTCGGATTTAACTCAATATCAATCTGTGCAGTTGCCATTGAAAAAAAAAAAAAGTATTTTTTTATCCCACCTAAAGAGACCACCATAATTTGAGAAATTATTTGTTGCAATCGTTGCAACGATGACGTGATACAACGAATGATTATAAGTTGTCTACCAAAATAAAGTGGATCTACAATAGAACTAAAAAATTGATATAAATGCTTTGGTGGAATGTTTGTAACCGTCCATAGTAGCTCGTCATCTTGCAACAATTGCATTTAAATAATTTCTCAATCCATTAGATGCATGTGCATTCGATAAACTAAGGGTAGGGGAATTTAAATATGGGCACATCCATTTAGGGAGTTGGGCACTCTAACTGGGTAGACCTATCAACGGGTCGAATTCAGATCGGATATGGTCTGTCCCTGTCTTGAACCCGAACCCGATAATCACTTTACTTGATGCAATCTGATCCAATAATCCAACGGATTTTTTTATAAGTGAATTCATATTCGATTTGTTAATAAACGAATATCCAATCCGATAAAAGTCTATTTTTTATAAAGTAAAAAAAGACTAAAAAATAATGTCAAAAGAGAATTAAAAACAATGATTAGAAAAAAAAGAAAAAGAAAAGAAAGATAAATAAAATATGGAAAGAAAAGAAAAGAAAAGAAAAAAAAAATATCTTTTACTTTTTGTTAATGAATAAATATTATGACATTAGCAATATGTATATTAGGAGATTTATTAGTATGTGGATGAGTACACCACATTATTGTATATATAACATTATAATTACTTTTTATTTTTATTTTTTTTTTGTTATATATAATATAAATTTGATAGGAGTATTGTATATGTTTATGTATATTAGGAGATTTATTAATATGTGGGTGAGAACACCACACTATTGTTCACATAGCATTATAATTATTTTTTTCTTTTATTATATCTAATATAAATCTGGTAGGAGTATTGTATATATAGAATATTTTATAATATAAATTTAATTTGATTAAATTATTATCAAATTGGATTAGCATAAATTTATATCCGATTTGTTAAGGAATCGGATTATCGAATTCCCCGTAATTGGGTTATTAGATTTTTTGTTCCATTCATATCCGAATAATCGGATCATAATTCGATCAATTGATAGGTCTATAATTAGGTGTTATAAGGGGGACTTGTCCCGCATTCAAGGAAGAGCCACTTCATAGCCAATGGGTGCACCTATTGATTTTTTATTTTTTTTACTACTATATAAAACTATTCTTTTTTTTTTTTAATTATATACCGATAAAATTTTCACTTTGCCCTTTCTAAAATTATAAAAAAAATACATTAAATTTATTTTTGTTCCCCTCCTACAACTTCTTGAATATGTTACTGACCCATTCGGTTGAAAAAATAAATAAAATACACATGAATTACATATTAGTACACCTAATAACTTCAATTTTTAAGTTTGGTCCCGAAGAACCGGATCAAATAAAAGAAAGTTCCATTTTCGTAGACTTGTTATTGGAGCTTGAATGTCATTATTACTTAAAAAAAAAACAAAAAACAAGAAAGTCATTATTATTCTCCTAAGAAATACCGAGTAAATTGGAAGTTTAAAATCAAGCACATGTTGTAAATGTCTCGATAATCTAGTGGTTAGTGCCTTCGATAAATTTTAAGAATGACAGATTTCGACTCTTTACACCTACTAATTTAATTTCTAATCTTCCTTGTCTTTCTTAAAAAAAATAATAATAATAATGTCAAGCACATGTTGACGTCAAGTTGCTGTTTGGGACGGTGGTGGCACTGGTGCTTCTTGGAAACGGTCCAATGTGGCGGTCCACTGGTTGGGTTTTAACGTCAGCCATTTTTTCGTTGAAACCTAATCAGTGGGTCCAACCCATGTCAACTCAATCCGAGCCTAAGACTACTATTAAAAGGTGATGGGCCCTTTTGCAATGACTTTTCTTTGGTTTTTTTATATGACTATTGTGTAGGGATGGATGACAATTTATCTCAACCCGACCGGACCGGCTTCTATTTTTTTATTAGGCCGTTTCTTAAATGAATTTGAGATGAGTATGAGAAAATAAAAAAAAAATTTAAAATAAGAGTAAATATAGTGATAATTTCCTTCGACTGTGTCAATTATATAGGTATTTTTAAAAATTATATATATATATATTTAATATTTTCAAAATCCTTATTACTTTATTAAAAATATTAGTTAATATATTAATATTTTAGATCAATTTATTTATAAGTCTAATTTGAACACTTTCAGCTATTTTTTTTAATTAAATAATAAGAATGACATAACCCACACCGCCCATGTCCTCCCTCCGCAATTAAACGGAGTCTGCAACTTTACCTACTGAAATAGAAGCATAAATGGCATACCAATTATAAATCCATTCTGAAATAAGAGCAAATTTAATATGACAAATTTTCTAACACAGTTATGTAAGATTTAGCTAACTTTATTCCCATCTCAAACTTTTTTGTTTAAGAATGCTTAATAGCACTAAATCATCTACATTTTTTTGTGACACAAAGCCCCTTTTTTTTTTTGGTTCAGATAATCCTTCTTTGAACTATCAAAATCTTTTTCCTCACCCACATTGTCGTTATTTGTCGGTTGACTTTATATTTCATTTTGATATATCTTTTATTCAAATCTCCCTTAAAATTTGGCACTAAGGTACTGTGGATTTTGTATATATTTTAGAAAATTAGTGCATAATTCAATTTAATAAAAACAACGATAATTAATAATAAGAATTAAATTATGAACATGAATCTTGTCGAGTATAGATAAAATAAACAATACAACAATCTCAACAATTAAAATGAACAAACATTCAACTATAATTTTTATACAAGAAAATAAAATAAATTACATAAAAATCAATAAATCAGTACCGAGATACATGTTCATCATATTGTCTTAAATTTGTTATTTCCTTTACACGTGTAGTTGCAATACTAATTTTAACCTACAAGTGTTAGCAATAGCGTAAGTGATATGTGTGTGTGTTTAGGAGGTAAAAGGAGATTTGAATCATGATGAAGAGATCAAAGAGATGAATAATTCAAGGGAGAAATGAAAAACACTATTATATTAAATAGGAAAATGCTTCTATTTAAATATAAAATAAAATAGGAAAATAGAAAATGCTTTTATTTAAAAATATAATGTTCTGGTGGATATATAAATAGAAAAACACTATTATATTAGTAAATATAATTCAATATGATTTTAGTAAAATATTCGTCACAAGAAATGAATATGAGAAAAAAAGGAGAAATGAAATAAGACAAGTTTTTATTTAAAAAAATTTCTCCAAACATTTTCATAATTATTCTCCTGCGAGGAGATGTTTCAAGTTTTGTTTTTGTTTTTGTTTTTTTTTTTTCATGTGATGCAATAAACACACTCTTAATGATTTTGTTTTGTAGTAATTGTTAAACGCGTTGATTCCGCGACCAAGCGTATGAAACAGAAATTTGACGACGTTTAATGGACGTTACCGAGCTTAAAACAGGTTCGTCACACCGAGCCTCGAATTCAGACACCGTATCTAATCCATATCTACATCCATGTATATTATACAATCTATGTCCATCTAGTATAAATAAATACACACCTACACTCATAAAGCTCAATCTTGTCGTCGATTTCGAAGAATAGGTTACGACTTTTCTGGAGACACCCCTTAATTGCCATCACACAAAGCATTTTCAGGTACTCTCTTGTTTGATTTTCGCAACTGTTTTGATATGTTCTTGAGATTATCTCTTGGCTTGAAATCTCATCGTTATTGTGAATTTCTAGGGTTACCATTTCATTGATTGAAAATCTAACGATACACATTTTGTTATTTTTAATCGACATGTATGTACGTTTCCTCTCTGCATTGTCAAGGCAATGACTTTTTTAGGATAAATTATGGGGCTTTCTGTTTGAAAATGTCTGATTGTTTGTGTTGTCTAGCCTCCATTTGTTGCTCAGAAATTGGGAGATAGAAATGAAACCGAACCCTTTTTATGCCGTGTTGGCTGATCGTTACAGCTTTTCCCTTCGATTTTCTTAGCAACCAAACGGAGCCTTGGGTATATAATTTCTTTCTATGGCAAATTCAACTGCAGCCTTGAGAAAACAAATGCCTTACTCAAATGAGCCTATTACAACCATATTTCAATTAATTGAACTGCCTTCATCTTCCCTTTTTTTTTCTTTTCGTGGAAACCAAAACAACACTATGAAGACTTTGTTGACTTCCTTTTCTTTTTGGTATGATTGTGAAATGCAATTCATGGTCATGACAATTCTAATTGTTTGGTTTGGAATGGTTAATGAATGATATTTTTTGCAGATCAGGAAATTTGATTAAAAGTAGTAATGGGAGACCACCTTGTTTTGTGCGTTGACCGACTCATTACACCTGAATCCTTGCAATTACTGCAAGGGGATGAGGCCCAGGGATCTTCTGTAGAGGATTCTTGCACTCACAATGATGATCCGTCCATGTCTGCCATCGATATTAAGGAGGTAGCGGAATATAGTGTAGCTGAAGAAGAAAAACCATTACTACAGTCAGTGGAATGTCGCATTTGCCAGGAGGAAGATAGAATGGAAAATCTGGAGGTCCCATGTGCTTGTAGTGGCAGCTTGAAGGTATCTTTACCTGAAGTGTTTTTTTTTTTTTTTTTTTTTTTTTTTTTTTGTGTGTGTCAATGTGGTGGATTCAATCAGTTATTTGCCTGAAATAGGTAGGTATATATATATATATATGCATATTCCTATATGTGTCTCTGTATATATATATCTATATTACGGTATGTTGATTTGTACATGCATCATTCAGATTGTTTCAGCCTTATTTGCTTTTTGTTGGCTTTGACAGTTGAGCTACGCATGATGCTTTTATGTTGGCATGGATAACTTTTAATTCAGATTATTATTATTTTTAATAATAATAAAAAAAGAAGTGAAAAGGAGAGAAGGTTAGGGTGGTTCATAGTTCTACCATTATTTACTTATGAAGTACAGAAACCTTGAAAAAGGGGAGAGCCCTTTCTGTCATCCTTACCTTCTACGTTTTGGTGGAAGAGATACAGTGTGTCTGGACTCTGGAGAGAAGGCCTTTCACTCCATCTTTGGTGTTTCCCTCATACTAATTAAAGGAAATCATATCCAGCCCTCCCTTTTTCCTTCCCTCATATTCTTTCTCACTTTTTTGTCCTACCAAATGGACAATTTTGGACAAAGGTATGTCTTATCTATCTACATGGACATGCCAGTGTTGGTGTATTTATTATGTTAAAGCGTTTGTGCGTGTATAATATGCCAATTGTGCATATATGTGCTGAAGAACCTAAAATAAAAATGATGATTTTATATACATTCCTTGAAGAAGATGAATTGGCAGCTGTACTTCTGCCCATCTTTCTCCCATCTTTCTCTTGGAAAAAGCTGTGCCATTTTAGTTAGGATGGCAAGCTGTGATGTTTCTGTTAGTTAGGATGGCAAACTGTGTCGTTGCTGTTAGTTAGGATAGCAAGATATGCTGTTTCTGTAAGTTAGGATGGCAAAAGAGAGGTGTTGACATGTGCAAGGTATGCAAAATTTTAAAGAGAATTCCCCATAAATTGTAACTCAATTTTTGTCTACCTTATGCCTCATAATTTGTAACTCAATTTTTGTCTTCCTTATGTTTGTATTATGCCGCCTTTCGTGTTTTTTATATATCAACTTGTCAAAAAGCAATCTTTGCTTCATCTAACTTTATTCCACCACACACCATGGTGTATCTTTTCTTCTGTTGTTAGTTAACTTATCTACTCCTACGGTATGGTCATTTTCAAGATTTATACTAGTATTTTTAAAGCATATACTTTTGGGAATGTTGTCTCAATCGTCTCTTGCTTATTCCAATTTGTTATTTGGGAGTTTGTTCTCTAGTAATTTCCTTTTCTCTTTCTTTTGAGTCATTTTGAGTACTTCTGATGACTCGTTTTAACATGTTATATCTAAAATGACAGCTGAAAATTTTGTTTTATCTAGTTTGCTCATAGGAAATGCGTTCAGAGGTGGTGCAATGAGAAAGGAGATATAACATGTGAGATCTGTCATCAGGTATGCTCTGCTTCTTTGTATGTGTCTTTCTTTGCTATTATCTTTTCCTTTTTATGTAGCAAAACTAGAATTATGCTTTCTATATTTGATATTATTAATTGGTATCTGGTATTTCGTAGCTGTGAAATTATGCAGCCTTTTTCGTTTTGAAACCACCTAGCATGGTAAAATTTAGGTGTTGCAAAAATATGAAATAGAGTAGGATGTGTCTTCTACCATGTAAAACTAATGAGTAGACTAGAATAATCTCTCTTGAGGTCTGAACTAATTTTGCACGCATTGAGATAGCCCAAAAAGCTCAAGATCTCTCCTTAAGCTTAAACTTCAGATTTTCCTTGCTGTTGTGTGGTTGTTAGGACTTTTGTATAATTTTTTCTGGAATATTGGATTTATCTCCTCGTTTGCGTGGGAGACTTAAATAGTCTTATACTACTTTAGAAATTTCAACTTTTCCCCATACTAAGATCCTCGTGTGGACAAAAATATTCTTAATATGTAACTCTTTTTCTCTCTAGAATTTTCCCTCTTTGTTCGCCTTTGCCATTAATGTTTACTACTTGTTAGTGACCATGGTTGGTGGCAAGAGAAGCCATGACTTGGGAGCAAGAAGATCGATTCTTTTCTTTCTCTTCCTTTCTCTTTATGTATTTGTCTGTGTACATATTATGAAATTTATAAGTATATACGACATACATATTTTGCATTGGGGATAAGCATATTTTTCTATAGCATGGCTTTTTACTCATTGAAAATTAAAATTAGCTTTAGATCTCGTCATTCATCATTGGCTCATTGCACCATCTCAAGCTACGTAATGACAATACTGCTGCAACCCATACCTAGATCAGAACTAAGCTCTAGCTTGGTGAAATTTGCACCTTCACCATCTTAAGTTACACATAGTATTACTAGAATATTATAAACATCTCCAGTAAACTATATAATTCTGCAAATGGAAACTTAAATTCTGATTTGAATTTTCAGTTTTTATTTGGGAACTAAAACTATCAATGCAAGGTTGTGAAATTTTGATTTGGGGTTTTGGGTTTTGATTCTTAGGTAAATACTAATCTGGGATATAGTGTGAAAAATGAAGTTGTGGGGTTTGATGAGGATAGTGGTGCCAATGAGTTGTAACGATGGTGGGAGACATGGTGGTGAGAATGGTGGTTGGGTGGTGCTATTGGTTGGGCAGGTAAGATTTCAGATAGGGGGGTGGAGAGACATTGGGTTTTAAACAGTGGTGGTTTAATGGTGATTAAAGAGGTGAAGTTTTTGTGGCACTTGTGGCTTTGTTTAGTGGAGACGGATTGATGGGTAGGGCATGAAAGTGGTTTCTGGGCAGTGGTATAAACCGTATAATGGTATTGGCGGAGTGGAGAACTTAAAGTCATGTGCAAGAGCAAAGAGGGTGAGGAGTGAGAAAGAGAAAGAGGGCAAGGAGAGAGAAACATGAGAAGGAAAAGAGAAGAATGAGAAACATTTTGTCTGTTTACTGACAAACACTAATGGATCTGTATCAGGGAGGTTTGTATAATTTTCCTAAAATAAGTTGTTCTGCATGTTCCTCACTCTTTCCCTCTCAATTTCTTAACCCTTTTCTCTTTTTTCTGGAAGGGACTGGTAATAGGGATTGAAACCTAACCAACTCAGCCCTATAGATTCCCTTTATAACCTTGTTTGGACAATTGTGGTCAGTTGGCATTTTTCACCGTTCAAGGTTGATATTCGCATTGGAGTTTAATATGTTGAAAAGATGTTTTTTTTTTTTTTTGGCGGCATTTGTGTGTTGGTTTGAGAACAGTCTTGAAAAGGACTTTAGGTTTTAGAGATGTAGCTACTTTGGGTGCTTTTAATTTATCTTCGCAAAGTTTTTCTCTCCAGTTGTTCCTTATTACATTTATTTTGACTAATTTCTGTATAGCGGTTGTCAACACATTATTTTTTCCTTGGTCACTTGCAAGCTTAACATTAGGGAGTCATTTCAATTGGCTAGGATCTATCTTTATATTGAACTAACAATAGTATGTGTAGATTGTACACATCTATATCTCATTTTAATTAAAGTTAAACTTAATATAAAAATTGTAGACATAGTTCATTTCTTTTAATGAAAATAGTATAGTAATGGAGTCCCTTTTTTCCAAAATATGCTGTCACACACTCACATTGTTCTCAGTCCCTGTAACATATTAATAAGGATTTATTAGTGCATTTCTTAAAAGTTCCTGTTTGCATTATGTCTATAAGTTTTACTTTATTGATTCTGATAAGTTGATTCATCAAATTGATACTAGTAACATTAAACCCTCCCTGATGTACAGCCTTATCGACCTGGTTATACTGTTCCACAACCTTCCTCACGCTCTGAAGACACTACCATTGATGTCAGGCAAGTTCAAACTCAAACCCTTAGTCCCTTTTGCTATCATGTTTTTGATTGATAACATTGATATCATTTTATAACTAATAATAGAATAATAACTTATCTCTAATAAGAATGATAACATTAGGTTATAAAAGAGAAACAATAATAATGACACTTTTAGAAAACAACTCCTTTCCTTTATCAAGGCTAGTGTACCTTATGAAGCGTGGACATTGATATAAGATACAGACACGACACAATATGAAAATGGTGATGCGAAAAATTCATAAAAAATAGGATAAATATACGGCAAGGACACAACAATGTATGTTATATTAATGTTGATATGTAAAAAGTTAATATGTTTATATGTATGTATAAATGTTTAAATATAAAAGGATATATACTAATTTGTCATGTTATAAATTGTTACTAACATTTCCTTGTTAAAAATCATGACAAACAAGTTTAGACTTTAGACTTGATAATTATATTGCATGGATAAAACTAAATTAATTATGAAATATTCTCATTGTATCTCAATACTTTCTTCTTCTTAAAATACCTCATTACATCCACACTCATATTCTTATGTGCTGTTTCAATTCTACAGTTTGTACCATAAACATTGGTGGTTTTACGACTGTCTTTTAGTTTTTTTTTCTCCAGTATTACTGTTTTTTGACAATTAAAGAATACTCTTACGATCAGATATCTGCTTTTGTTGTCAATTTTTCACATGAATCACTACTGAAGTTTTAATATGCTGGAAAATAATTTTATTTTCATCTCACAGTGATGGTTGGATGCTCTCTGGTACTCCTCTGGACTTGCATGACCCTCGACTTTTGGCTATGGCGGCAGCAGAACGCCATCTTCTGGAGGCTGAATATGATGAATATGCTGATTCGAATGCCAGTGGAGCTGCATTTTGCCGGTCTGCGGCTCTGATTGTAAGTTGTTCTAACTATCTCTTGCACAACTAAAAGTGACTTGTGTTATGAGAAAGGTGATGAAGTATCGAGTTCTGATTATTGGAATAGTAAATAATGTAAATATACATAAAAGATTGCTTACCTTTCAGGCAGCTAGGAAAGTAATGTTACAGTATGAAGTTTATTGATAGTCTTCCCTTTGTAGCAAGTATTTTTGGTTGAATCTGTCCAGTGATTTCCCTTCTTTATGCTCCCCCTTACAACCCACCCACACGCAGAGAACAGGTGCATATGAAATTTCAAATATCTGGTGACTCCCATTATATATGTTCTTTACGAACTTCTATTGTAGATCTATATTTCCATCTATTTATTTTTATCCCTTTTCTTCTATTCCTTCCTTTTCTTTTCTTTTCTTCCCTTTTTTTCTTTTTTCCTCTATAGAACTGTTGTTATAGCAGTTGGCAGTACTTTTAACCTAATGCTGGTGGTTAGCTCAAGGTTCTTTTGACAAAGGTGCCATCACACTATGTTAACAGCAAAGCCTACTTTTGGGATTTTGTTTTTTCTTTTGATCAATTTAATTCATCATTGCATGTCCAAAAAATAAAATAAAATAAAATAAAAAATCGCCATTGCCCACATTATTTTTTTATGTCATTATGTTTTGAGGCATACTCTGTTTATTGGCAGTTAATGGCTCTTCTACTCTTGAGACATGCTCTAGCCATGAGAAATGGTGATGGGGATGATGACGCTTCCACTTTTTTCTCTGTAAGTGGGTTTCGTATGTCCAATCTGTTGCATAATTATATGCATGCTTCGCATATCTCCAACTATAAATATGTGCGTGTGTACCTGGTTTTGGTTCACCACTTGATTCAGTGGTTGGTGCTTGACAGCTTTTTCTGCTACGAGCTGCCGGTTTTCTCCTCTCATGCTATATTATGGCCTGGGCTATCAGTATATTGCAGCGGCGAAGGCAAAGACAGGTAGACGTTTCTTTTTGTTAGCTATTCTCATGTCCTTTTATTTGGTTTTTCTTCTAAATATGGTAAAAACATTTTCCTTATGGTAATATGGCAAGGTGATGACAATGAGTTGGTTATTAGGGCTTGAAATGGAGAGGGTTTGACCTGGTACTGGTCTGGTCCAAAAATCCATTTTAACAGATCTGGATTTTGATTTTGAACCTGAATTAAAAAACAGGTCAGATATAGATATTCGTTGAAAGACCTGTAACATATATGGTCAGATATGGTTATTTCTTAAATGGACCTGATTTCATCTGAGATTCGACCTGAATAAAGTATATTTTACTATATTCAGATCTTGGATATTAAAATATGGATCCGGATCTCGATTCACATGAATCCGCTTCATTTCAGCCTTATTGGTTATGAAGGAAACAGGTGTGGAGATCAATGAGATTCTCTTCATGTTGGAAGGAGACACGGTGAATATGTTCATATAATGAAAAGTTTAGTGTGAAACATTTGTTGCTTACGGAATGAAGTGAACCTACAGCATTTTTTTCCTTGTCAGCAAATGAAGCCTTGTTTCTTGAAGCAATATTTATAATATATATATGAAGGTGCCAGCTAGCCTAGCTAGTAAAGTTCCTAGGTGCTTGTAGAAAGACTAGCATCATACAGAGTGACGGACCAGGATTTGATTTCAGTGGGGCGCGGTGTACTTGATATAAGAAAAAAATAATAAATAAAAAAACTCTACTAACATGATAAATATAAATTGTTCAAATCAAAAGGCAAACAAGAAAAAAATTAATATATTGAAAGCGACGAGTGGTAGCCTCATTATCTGTGCCACTTGGGCAGTTGCCCTCTATATTTCATTGATTTAATTAGCCTCAATCGATTTAACGATCCATGATACCCTCATAGAAATAGTGACACAGCCAGGAATCTATTTCAAGAGAGGCATGTTGAACATGATAAAGGTTAATATATATTTTTTCCCCTACTAACATTACAACTAATACTAGTGCAGCAAGACAGTAATATAAATAATGGAAGTGCAGTTACAATACATTGATCAAGATTCAAATAATGTCATTATTGGCAAAAAATTACTGTAAAGAAATTTTAAAAAAATATAAGATACACACATTGAGTTCAAACTAAATGCAAGGCAAAAGTGCATTAAACACCCCTCAACCATTGACTTGTTGCAAAATGCACCCCTTAACTATTAACTGTTGCAAATAAGCCCTTCAACTTTAAAAATGGCTCACATTGCACCCGAGACTAACGGCTGTTAAATATAACCATTAAGTTAGACATGTGCGCTGTGTATGCTATCAAATAACTTACTTAATTTACATAAATACTCTTGTTATACCTATTTGATCCTTCCACCTTCTTACCCGCTTATTTAACCCATTTACACGAGGATGAGCAACTCCTTTCCCTTACGGCGGAGACGCTTTAGAGAGAAAAAGTGTGAAGTTTCCCTCGAGTTAGCTGTTCTCCCCTTTCTAGGTGTCTCCTAATCTGATTTTAATCTCCTATATTTGTTGCGGGACCACCCAAGGCCAAAAGAAGTGATCATTCATCATATTGCGAGGGTTTTGGCGATGGATTGTAGCAGGAAAACTCCCTATCTTTGCTTCAACTATTAATTCTTGATCCCTCTGTAAACATTCTCATTTGCCGCAGCTTTTAATCTGTGTTGCACAAAATTTGGTGTGCGTTAAAGCAAAGCTGAAATAGAAGACCCATCAACTAAAGTACTACTATGTAGTGAGAATCTCTTGGAAGTGATTGTATAAAAATTTCTGAATTATACTCAATAATATATATAGTCAATAAATTTGTTTGATTTGGAGGTTGTCAAGTATCAGATAAAATCAAACAAACAACCTTCATAAGATTTTTTTTATAAAGAATCTCATAAAATAATTGAATTAAATATAGATAAAAATATAGCAACGAATATATACATATAGATATAAAGACCATATAGGTACTGAGTATCATATCTTCTCTAAGAATTTCAAGAGATAAACTGACTACAATGTCAGGGTATGGGGACGCTCTTGTTATGGCTGGTGGCAGTCCAGTTGCGGTGTCAATTGCAGTGGTGAGGGATGATGTGCACTGGGCTCTGCGGCAGCATCCTCATTTGCAGTTGTAGTGGACTCCTTGGACGGGAAATTGAGCTGCCCATGAGCTTAGTAGATGGGCTCTTAGATGGAAGATTGATGTGGTGTTTGATCACAGTTACTCTCTTTGTTTGTTAGAGGTGACTGATGATGAATATATTGTCTGATTCCTCATTCCAGAATATATTTGATGTTTGCTTGCTTTTGGTAAAAAAATCTATGTATATGTTTAAGGTTAAAAATGTAATTTTACATTCTATTTTATTTTAAGGAATATATATATATATATACATATTTCAAACTGTTTAGGATTTTTGTGTAATTTAATCTAACTTGATGGTTATATTTGATGGCAGTTAGTCTCAAAGGTGCAATGTGAGCCTTTTTAAAAGTTAAAGGGCTTAAGTACAACAATTAATAGATGAGGGGTGCATTTTGCAACAAGTCAATAGTTGAGGGGTGTTTAGTGCTTTTTTGCCTAAATTTAAATAAGATTAAGTAGGGAAAAAAAAAAGAGAATAAGAAGAGGAAAAAAGGTTACAGTACACATCATACATGAGTGCAAAAAAAAAAAAAAAAAAAATTAAGAAGAGAGAAAAAAATGAAAAGAAAAAGGAAGAAGAAGAAGAAAAGAAACCTGAGAGAACTTTACGGGAAAAAAAATCAGGGTTTGATTGAAGAAGGGGAATGTAATTTTTTTTCAAGAGAATCAAAGGAATTTTAAGAGTAAAGAGAAAAGAAAACATTAAAAAATATATATTTAGGAATTGAAAATTTAGGGGGACATTTTGTAAAATATCTCCGCCCCTGATCATACACCACCTTTACCAGGGTTGGGCGGTTTACAGCTAAATGTTGGAGCCACCCCTTTGTGCTTGTTTGTGTAGCCCAGCATCAACACGTTAATATGTTTGTGCGGTACATATACAGTAACTGTTGGATCTAAAATCAACTTGATTGGATATGGGTTGGTGTCTGATCCACAAATCGTTGTTCCTTTAAGTTTTTTGGGATAAAGATCTAATTTAGATTTTAATATGAACGGGATAACTTTTTGAGTTCTTGATTGTCTTAACCTTTTCCTTTGCACTGCATGACAAGCATTTGAGTGACATTTGTTCGGGAAGTTGCTTTAAAAGTAGATGAATGCTATAAGAAATTATCAGGGAATGTGAGAATAGTAATTCTCACACCAAATGTAATTTGACCCTACCACTTATCTATATTTGTGTGCGTGTGTATATATATATTATATGATATATATACATACATGCATATGTTTTTTCTTACCCTCTTTTCACTCTTCAATTCATTTCTTCATGCATGCTGTTACCACCCAAAATAAGAAATAAAAAAAATGAAGTTTTCCGGTTCCTGATCCCATTCTCTTATTATTGTTATTCATGTACTCGTTTATCTTGTTGGATCAGGAGGCAGCAGCTCGGGCAGCAACTGAAGTTGCCTTTATGCTACAAGCAGGGCAACACGGGGGCTTGCAGTTCACAATTGCACCTGGACCTGCTGTAGCACCAGGACCTGCAGTAGTACCTGGACCTGTAGTGACCCCCCATCAGGAATCATCACTTCGATAATGTATGGTGTTCCATTACTATGGTAAGTGTCTAGATGGGCGCATGACACAGTGAAATTTGAGTTTGTTGTATTACTAGTACAACTAGGGGAGAAAGAGAACTGGAAGGCTGTATTGTTTTCTATCGATTGTGTCTTTGCTTGGCTTTGTTTCCAGAAACACTAGAGGCTGAAACTTCCTTCTATGGTTCTCCCATATTTGTACATAAATGTAGGGTATCAGAATGGCATCTGGGAAACTTGTGCTAGTAGAGTTGTCTACATATAAATATTGCTTCAGAATATGTGGGGTGTCTTGAGCACCCGTATGAGGGTGAAATAGTTAACTCTTGGCTACATGTATGTGTATTTGTGTCAATTTACTAATAGAGTAATTATTCTGAATATATTGCACCATGTTTACTGTTTCTGTTATTAATGATCACAGGCACAGCATACTTGCACTGACATATTTAGATTTTTTTCATTGACATAAACACCAGTTACCTCTTACGTGCTTAAGTACTAAGCTGAATGAAAAAGCCCTGTCCAACAAGAACCCTTGCATTCTGATTTTCTTCAGCTTCATCCGAGGGTGTATTCAGGTTGGACCAGTGACACACCACCCTCAATCCTATCCGATGGTGGTCCTTGGTACTGAAATACAGTAGCATCTTAATGGACTTGAATATAAATCATAAGATTTGTGTATAATTCAATCAAATTTTATACTTCCATTGGATGTGATGAGGTATTTGTTAGATTTAAAACCCTATATGTCATTCTTACTTCCACCCCACCCCCTATGCGGATTTGGATGGAGGATTTTCAGGTTACAATCGAACTAAAACTCGGATATGATTACTTGGGTTTTGATTTTCATATTCTGAGTTCAACGCTGGTTTCGGATGTTGGATTTTTAGTTTCGAATTTGGATTTCATTAACTACCGCTTGTTTGTTTTGTCTACAAATTGCTGGTGCATGGCAATGCACTTGCTATATTTATCTTGCAATATCAAATCTATTATGTTCATTGCAGGTGTAGGACAAGGCACTGGTTTTATTTATCTTTTAATGTCAAGTCTCTTATGTTCAGACAGCGTCCTTCATTGCATATTAGCAAATGATTATCTGATTCATTCTCTCCTAAATAGTCAGCACCGCTACTCTCAACCTGTGAAGGATGTGTTGTATCCTTTGTTGTCTTGAGCTCTTACGACATATAATTGTTCAACATGCTGTGTCATAAAGCTTGGCTGGCTTTTTCATCGTTATCATATACAATTTACCCCTTTGTGGATTTGCTGGCTTGTTTACTCGACAATAGAGGAAAAGTTCCTTCTTAATCCATTTGGCCTAGTTTAATAATGGTTTCAGATGCTAAATCGGCAAGTCATTGGCCATGACTTCTAACTTGTGATGGAATAGTGTGTTCAGGCATCTGATTAGGGTTATTGTCTCAATTCATTGCCAAATTGTTTTTGGGAGGATGAAATGCTGTTTTTTATGTTAACTGTTAATCCTTCTGGAATATGTGAGAACTTGAGTGGATGCATTGCCATCCATAGAAGGCTGCATCTTTTTGGACTTCATTTTATTGAAGTGATGTACAGCTATAATTGATGGCATATGTTGTGAGTTCAAAATGTTATGCACTCTGGGATATGAAGTATATAAAATCCTTTAGTTTTGAAGTTCAAATTTGATGGTGAAGGATGATTTTTGAAAGCAACAACTCATTTGTTTCTTTTACTTTAATACACTAGTAAAAGTAGATAAACCACATCAGTAGAGTATCTGATTTGTTGGGTGTTTGGTTGGACCATCTCTTTCTTCACTTACTAGATGTAAAAACCACTTCTCATTTAATTGAATTTTACAAACCTATGCTTTAGCAAATATTGTAGTTGTTGTGAACTTATAAATTAATGAAACAGAAGGAAAAAAAAAAAAAAGGAAAAGGAAAAGAAAGAGAAAGGTATTCTACATTGGTAAGTGAGAGAAAATAAAATATAAATAAAGACATGGAAGAGATGGAGAGACATGAGAAGGCCAAGTATAAGAAAACTATCAGTTGAAAACTTTGAATGGACTGCACAATTTAAAGATGGAGCAAAGAAAAGCATAAAGGAATCCAACTAAGCACAAGAAACCAAGACTCGTTTTTTGTTGCATAGATAGAAGAGCTTGGAATTCTAAAATGAGTTGGCATAAAGCAAGTGCTTGGTTTTTTTTGGGGGATGTTTCTATTCCTCACCTTCTCCCAGCATCTCTACTTTATCTGGCTTTCTTGCTACTGTAGTAATCTGAACTTTGGCTTTCTCATGGCTCAATTCAAGCACTCAAACCACTCAGAATATATCACTTTATGTACATTTAATTGCACAAAGCCAGTTATATCTGATACTTACCTAATTACCCATTTTATATTTCTCAGTTTTAGTGTAGATTTTCTTCTTTTTTTACTCCATTAAAATCATTTTCCTTCAAATATTTTACATAATCGGATGACGTGGAAATTTGGCTGAGAGTTCTTGGGAGTGGGACGGGTCCCTGGTTGGTCCAAAAGAGCAAGGCATATGATAGAGATGTCTAAGGGCACCAATACAGATATAAATGGCTTTCCAGGAGTGGCATTGCAACTAACTTATATTCAAATAGTTCAAAAGAGCAAGGCAAATGATAGAGATGTAGGGCACCAACACAAAGATTCTTGGCTTCCCAAGGGTGGTGTTTGCAACTAACTTTTCATTCAAACCTGTCAAGAGTCTTCTAAAACAGCCTTATATTGCTTCTATGGCAGGCTTATGATTGAGATGAATCTGAAACTTCTCTAGATGTTTTGGGGCCCTCCTATGCTTTTTGCCTTTAGTTGTTCAAATCCCATAAAAGAGCATAGCCACAGGCATATTCCTACAGGATTGAAGTATAAGACAGAGAGAGGGTACTGTCTCAGACAAACTACTTATTCTCTCATCATTGCTGCAAACAAGAGATACCTCCACTTCTCTTGTTTCTGCAGTAAAGGATGGGTTTTTCGGCTTGTAGAGTGATCTTCCTTCTTGTTTGTATTGGGTTTCTATCTATTCAACCGGAGATGGTTTCTGGCCTGAGGAGAATTGATCTTGTTCTCAGATGGAACAAAAGTCAGTTGCCATTTCTACGAAATCCGCATATCTTAAAGGCTGTTGCTTTGGGCGATCTGCAGACACAGCTGAACATAGCACCTGCACCTTCAATGATGTTCGATCTGAATCAATCGAGCAAAAGAAGAGTTCGAAGAGGATCAGACCCCATTCACAATAGAAGTTGATGTCTGAAGTTATTTCTTCTACTATGAAGCCAAAAAGGCTCTCGTTTATGACAAAGAAAGAGGACTTGTGTCACAAGTGGTGCAGGAGGGGACTTGAGGGTGGTGGGCATTGATTTCTGCTTCTTCAGCTTTTTCTCAATATGGGTTGGTTGGTTTTCATGTCTAATTTGTCTCTAGTTGAGAAGTTTTTATTTTTTTCCCTTAATATAGAACTCAAGAATGTAGCTAAAGTCCATCTGTAAGCTAGCATCTTCTCTACATTTGTATAGAACTTAGATCCTAACCAATAGCTGAATACTTTAGGGTGATGAACTGATGATGCTGGCTCTCATACAAAAAAATATAGTGCTTTCTCTTATTTTTCTTTTTGAAGAAAATGATTTCAATATGGGTCTCTTGTCGTAGAATATTATAATGAAATATAGAATCTTATTAATTCTTTCTTTCTTTTTTCTTTTTCTTTTTTTATATTTTAATATTCTATAATTTCTATATGCATTGGTGAGCCTTTGTCCATATTTTAATGCCCATAATCTCTCTCTGTGTCTCTATAGTCTATACCTCTCTCTCTCTCTCTCTCTATCTATCTATCTATATCTCTCCAATAAATATAAATGCTAAGTAACCATCTATCAATCCATACATCTCTCTTTTTCAACAGGCAATAGCAGCATGCTTCAAAACCGTGAATGCAAATTTATGCAGAGGTAGCTTTCTTCAAATCAAGTTTTTAGCTTACTTTATGCTCTTTCATGCAATGCTAGTAGGTTAATTTCAGAGGTCATTTACCTGGTAGTAAATAAGGGAGTATAGGATAAGCCAACCTATATATAGATAGAAATGTATGAAACCATAAAACTGTATTAACTGCAATAAAGGTTTAAATAACAAAATGCATGAAAAAGGTAACAGACCAAAGGCATATACATAGCGTTATCAGAACTTCACCTTCACTGAAGAGCCCACACAACCTATCCTGATAATCTTCATAAAATTTGAGGGCAAAACAAATATTGATCTTTCAAGTGGGTGTTTGTAAATTCAACTGGTCTCTCCTTTAAGTTGAGATCTGCGGTATCTGTTCTTCCTGTGCTCTTTAAATTGAATCGAAGATAACTTGCGTGAAATTGCTTCCCAAATCATATTCACAGCATCACTAGGCCGAGATGGATACCGATATTCAAAGTGTTCTACTATCTGCTTCAGTCTTTCCCACATTTTGGTCCACTTGTCTCGCTTGATTCCCCTAAGAAGATTCAGTAGGAAATCCTTTTTTACTGCATCTGAAGAACGAACAAATATGCAGAACTCTGAGTAATCTAAGATATCTTCGAATGGTAGTTCAATATCATCACTAATTATTACAGGAACACAATGGCTAGCAATGGCATCAAAGAGGCGATTAGAGGAGGGGGTGTCCCCAGCAATATTCAGGCAAAATTTGGAAGATGCCATCCCTCGGCCTGCATGATTGATCCCATGATCTCGAACACTTCCAAATGCAAAGTGGACATCCTTCTCATCTTTGAGAAGATAGTATAGTTCTTGACGAATTGCTCCACCCTGAAGATGAACCAAATCACAGTCATTAGGACAACTGGCATGTAATACAGATATCATTAGGTAAAATTTTAAAATGAGAATTTAACATTACAGCTTGTATAATTGTGTTCGTGTGTGCGTGCAAATTTCTTTTCTTTTTAACACAGGGTGGGAGGGAAGGGAGGCACTGCAAGAGCAGGTTGGTACCAAAAGCTTAAGATCAATGCAATAACATGGGGAAATTACAAATTAAATAAAGCTGAAATAATTTGTATGTATTTTATAAGATTTAAAATGAACCTTCCTCTTTCCTCATTGGTGCTTTCAAAAAATAGGAAATGTTATTTATTTTTTTTTATTGTGTTTCCACTCTATATGTAATCAGATATTCCTAAAAATTGAAAAAGACTTATTTAGGCACTTCTGACTAGGGCTTGTTCTTAGAAGGATGAATCTGTCACTTCAATAACCTCAAAAACAAATTGGATTTGAAGTGATGTCCTCATAGCATTTGAATGCACCTAATATTCTAAAAAAGTTCACAAACCACGATTTATAGATGCCATCAACAGGAACTTGGTAAATACAAGGTGATGTAATGATGTAACTATTACTACCTCAGGACGCAGGATCCGGAAAATCTATCTTGTCTGCGCTGTATAAAGAACCAGTTTAAGGTATGTAACTAAATAAAAAATATATCCTTAGACATTCTTACCAATAATTGAAACCAACTGTTCCTTCTAATTAATCAGAAAAATGTCTTTCCCTTTATGTTGACAATCAAATTTTCATACTGCATGTTTCGCAAGTGTAAGTTAGAGCTCATGGACTGGTTCATGGGTAATTAACCCTCTTCCTTCCCCCCTGTTCAAACAATCATAAGATGCTAGAGTAAGACTGAAAAAGTTTACTAAATGTCTTATTATACTTTCCATTCTTTCAATCCTGATAAGTAGACAGTTTGTTCCAAAACAGATTTATGACAAAATTAAATCATGATGACATGAGCTACTTGGTTTTAAAGTCATTATATATTCTGAAATTTAGTGAACTTAATTCACACATGAGTTCCAAAATTGGAGCATGTAACCCTAAGTTACAAGTAGACAACAGCAATAGTAAATAACAGAACATGCACTCCAATAATTCATAATATAAGGCAAAAAGAGGGATAAAACTTACATCCTTCCTATAAATTGCTCCCTGGAAAAACACCACTATAGGACGCCCTTCAAATGGAGCTGAGTTGCTAGCGGCAACAGTCCTGACGACATGTTTGTAAGGAGCGATTATATCCTTTTGAAGGTTTGCAATTTCAACTGGGTATCTGCCAAAATCTGCAAGCACGAACATGGCAGAGCCCAGCTTCCTTCTTGCAGTCAACATGCTATTTGGATGGTGGGCTACTATTAGATGATCCTTCCCATTTAACCGCCTCCATTCATCCCGACCCATCAAGAACTCCACCAATTTATCCTGCAATATCTTGTCAAAACTAACTTTCTCCTTCTCTAAAATCTTAGAATGTCTGTTGTAACTCAGAGATGAGAAGAATGGAACGAAAATTATATCTGCCTGACTTGAATTATGCACCCGGATTGCGCTGCAAGGTCTAATCACATTTGGAGTATCTGATAATAGAATATCAAGGACGAGCCAGTACTCCGCACTATGCTGTAGATTTAGCCCACCTGGGTATGGAGGGATTTGGCTTGGGTTACTGATATCTGGCCATGTTCGGTCTGCACTTCCCTTCCAACCCAACAACCCGAAGTGAAATTCAGGAGGCAAGTCATACATATATACCCTTAGTAGAGCTTGATTCGAGTCACATGCCCTCCTTTTATAGGCACCCAATTTATTGCTGGAATTGGAATTCCTACCAGCCACCTCTTGGCTTCTCATGGGTCGTCTAGTATGCTCCGGTGGAGCCTCAGAAGAAATGAAAAGAGGCTTAATTTGTTCACTTCTAGCATTAGGTTTGGAGTTGATGGATGTGCTATTAACAGGAATCAAGTTAAAAACTGATCTGGGTATGAAAGAATTGTCACTGACTTGAAGAAGGAGCAAGGAAGAAAATATCAAAACGAACAAAGAAACTATAATTAGGCCGAAGAGAAACCTCGAGGGTAGCATGCTCTTTTCTGATATTGATGACATTTGTAGAATCTACAATCTATTATGTTTCATAAAATCTAACAAAACAGCATCAGATAATACTGTAGAGGAAGAAAGTACTCGAAATTTGTCATTAGGAGCAAAGGGTAAACAATCCACAACTAAAGTATCAATTCAGAAAATCACTAAAAGTGGAGGTTTCCAACTCCTACTATGAACAAGAACAGTTTGATTCCCTCAATCATTATAAGGGAAAAACAGATCCCCAGAACGGAAAGTAAATTTAACAATCTGCCTTAAACCCTAAGGGTTTTAAAGATTTGAACTCTTTTCATCGCAGCATGTTCTTTTACAAACACTAACAACCTCAATTGGAAAATAAAATTTTCCTTTTCTATTAGAAATTTATGAACTGAAAATTTGCATACTTGTTATGTTCATCCAATAGCTTCTACTCTGTTCTTGTATTCAAAGTCAAAGACCTCTAATCAACCTGCATAAAAGAGAAAACAGTATAAAAAATAAATTCTTTAACGCATGAACTAACAAGCTTCAAGACTACATGCAACAACAAATATTGAACACAAAATTTAATTATTTTTCGCAAATTAAACAAAATATCACCATCTGGGTTTTCAGGATTTGAGATATTCTGAAAAGGGTGGATGAAGGTTTGCGAGAAGGGTACCTGATCAGCTTGGTTCACCGAGATGCCGTGGCGTTTGAGGTTTTTTCAGACAGGCGAGGAATGAGTTGGAGCCTTGGAGGCTTGTCTGGTACAACAGGTGACCAAAAATCTCATTGTATTTGATTATTATCACTTATTGTTATATTATATTAATTATATATTTATACATATTCCTTTTGGTTCTTCGTGAAGTGGATTACAGATGGGGTAAATTAGGCCCACTAGTAGAAAGTGGCATGCTTTTACGAACCTTCACTTTCCCTTGGCAAACCCAAAACATTTTTGGGAAAATTTCATTAAAGTCTTACTTTATTAAATTTAAAACAAATAAGTCCTATATTTTTTTCGTTTAGACTCATAAATTTCAATTTTTATTTTTATTTTTATTTAAGTTCTAAATCATTAGAAAAATATTGATTTTTAGTATATTGAAGTTGTCATGAAATTCTACATAATATTTTTTTCAATTTAAGTTAAATTAAATTAACCATTTTTTAAACTCATAATGCAAATATTTAATTGTGAATAAATTTATAACTCTAAAATTTTACTCCTATTTAATAAAGATATCTGAAAAAATACAAAAGTATGACTCGCTTCTAAAATTTTTTTGTAGAAATTATTTTTCTTTTAATTAAAAATATAAGGATCTACTAATAAAATTTGCAATTTTTTTAAAGGAAAAAGGTTGTTTGTAATTACAGTAAATCATGGTAATGTGTCACTAATGATAGCAGTTTTTTTTTTTTTTTTTTTTTTTTCGCGTGTCAAAAGGAAGAAACAAACCAAGAAAAGGGAACAAATCGGATTTCTATTTATTAATTTATTTTTTTTGTCAATCTGGGTCGATGATCATAATCAACGTGTGGATTTGGTGGCATATGCTTCTGAGAGGGTGAAATGCTACTTGTGATATCTAATGAAGTAAAAAATGATATATATATATATGTATGTAAAATTTACACACATAGGAAACTCACAATCCTGTGAACTTTTGCCATTCCATTATATATAATATATAACGATTATGATTATATTTTAATTTAAAAAAATTCAAGTTACTATAGTGTCACGCCCCGCCTATGGAGGTTACACCACACAGGCGACATGCAGGCGCTGAGTAGAATACTGCATGAGAACTGTATGGCAAGTGGAGTTTTTAGAGTCTTTCGGAATAATCTAGAGTTGTGTGAAAAATTCTAGATATGTGTAGAATGTGTAGTATATTGTAGAAGTGTGTGCAAGGTTCTAGAGTTCTCTAGAATTGTGTTGAGTAGTATAGAGAGTTCTAGAATGTTGTAAATACTTGTAGATATGTATGCAAGTGTAAAGAAGGTGGAAGAAGATTCTAGAGAATCAATCTCCACTATCGGTTAGAATGCATCCTAGCCGTCCATTAGGGATGGGGATGCCTATAAATAGGAGTAGGACTTCATTATGTGGTCAACAAGTCCTAGAAGTGAGATTGAGAGCCTTGTAGAGAGTTTGAGAGCTAGCCTTGTACAAAGCATTTTTTGAAGTAATAAAAGTGTTCTTTTTTTTGCCAACTTTAGTGTCTTTGTGTGTGTGAGTGTGCAAGTCAAGTGAGGAGAGGGCGAGGGCCATTACAACACTAGTAAGCGCATAAGGAGAGTGCGTTGGCTAAGGTGGGCACATGAGTTAGGCTGATCAAGTACTTGAGAGAGTAGAAACAACTTCTTGGTGCCGCACGAGAGTTGTAATACTCCTAATTTTAAAAGGATAGTCTCGGTATTTTTAATTATTGATTTATTGCATTTTTATTTACTTATACGAGTTTTTGCCTATTTGTGTAATTGTTTAATTTTTTAATTGCATTATTTGTTTTTATTAATGTATGCTATGTGGAAATTAAATTATTTGTTTTCATTAATTGTTCAATTATGTCATGAGATTAATTTAATATTCAATTATTAATAATGTTAAATTAGGATCAGTTTTCGGTAATAGTGTAGTATATAGTTTAGGGTTTTATATTCTTTTATAAAATCACGTGGTGGCCAACTAGTTATATTTTTATTTTAGTTTTCCTTCTCTTAATATAATTAGAATTAGGTTTTTTGGTAGAAGCCTATAAATATACCATTATATGTTTGCATTAGGTTTAAAACCCTATTCACTAGCAGAGAGGTCCAAGAGAAAACAGAGAAAGGGAAAATTAGGGTTTAGCTAAGACTAAAGCTGAACCAATGAGAGAACGAAGGGGTGTTGTTCGTGGATTGAACCAAGGGGCAACAGAGGAGTTAGAACAGTGAACAAGACGACGCCGAAATTTTATTTTGAAATCTCAAAAGCAAGTTTTATATCTTACTCCTTCCCGTTGACCTGTGTTATGTGCATGCCTAGATAATCTCTAGGGTTTAATCGAACATTAAATTAATCTTGTATACATGATAATTCAAAGTTTAAATTGTATTTAGTGTTATTAAATTGAAACTAATATATGTTATCAATTGTTTTATCTTTTGTAATTAATTGTTAAAATGAATGCATACTGAGTTTTATGAGATTCTGGATAATTTTGGGACATAAATTGAACCTTAGAAACCTTTATAAAATGTTATAGAGGGTTAAGCACATTGCCGGAGGCGAAGAGGATGATCGAGAATCAATATACGGCTCTCAGGGAGAGAGAGCCGGCTCTAAGAGAGAGAGAACTGGTTCTCTATGGGGGAGAGCCGGCTCCACAAAAGGTAGAGCCGGCTCCCCATGAGGGAGAGCCGGCTCCCCATGAGGGAGAGCCGGCTCCCTTTGTAGGGAAACGGCTCCCAGGCTGTAATACACCAACATGTGTATTTTTGATGCGTTTTTGGATGTCCAGAGGCTGAAACGTGGTTCTGCACTTTAATGTGGGGTTTTAAATGATTTGAATAATTATGTTAAAGTCCTAGAATGGTTAATCTATACTTTTATGCTAAATATTGGACATCATGAAATTTTAGAATTGTAATTTGCATGCTGTCAAGGATTGCAGAAGTTTTAATTGTTAGTTATTATTTTAGCAAATTAAATGAATTATTATGAAATTTACTTGGTTGTTTTAGTATAATGTGCTCAGTTTATATTTCTAATTATTATTATATCATGTTCTGGATTTTAATTGATGTCTAAATTTATCATTTATTGCATCAATTATTGGATATGTGGATTATATGCACCGGTATGAGACAGTGGCATATTATGTATGGATTAGATCACAACGCTAAATCCTACCTATTCTGGAATAAGGGAATAGATTATAAAATTAAATCCTACTTATATTTAAGTAAGATCAGCTGAACAAGTTAAATAACTAATTGGATTACTTGCGACTTATATTTAAGTCAAATCAACTGAACAAGTTGATTGACTAACTGGATTACTTGTGGATGAATATGATAGAATTTACATATATATGATTGTGGTACCATGATATGAGCTTGAGTCTCAGGATTGATGGTTAGAGAGCGTATATGCATTGGGATGCATACCTGACTATGATAGGTAGCGGTGTACCCTGTTAAGTCTAGGTATTCATGCCCACCTCAGGTGCGTTTTGCATGTTACCTTCTATTCAGGTTGAGACCCCTTTTGTAGTCCAGTGAGAGTCCCTTAGTGTGGATATATATATGTATAGACAAGTTAGCTATTGTTGAGTTGTATAGGATGTATCTGCGTATCGGGTCTCTGTCTGGATTGTAGTAGTATAGAACTTGCTCGTGAGCCTGACCCACTCTTATTTTTCAGGTGTTCGTCGTTGCAGGCTTAGAGCTTATTCGTGCTGAGCAAAAATTGTTACTCACTATTCCGACGACGTATGATTTCACTTCATGGTTTAGCTTTGGATTTTGTTTCAGTTGTTTATTTTCAGTTGGGATTTTTATTAGGGGTCCACTTGATGGATTCCCGAGTTGTTCTATTATTGGAGGATTTTATGGATTATATTGGAGAATTATTTAATTAACTTTTAAGGATTTTTATTTTAGAATTCTTTTAACCTTTATTATTTATTTCTTAATTCTTTTTTGTAATCCTACTTGTTTAAATATTAATTGTTTGGTATCCCTCAGATTCGTGCTCGGACTTGATCACTCGTGGCTCTAGAATCGAGTTGTATTACAAGAGTAACTAGAGTGGTATTGAAACTCTAAGCTTGTGATAGTTGGTATCAGAGCAAGTTCGTCAAGGGAGCTTTGTTGAAGTAGACATGGCTAGCGAAGGAGACCACCATATCCATGTCTTTGAGCAAGGTGATCAAGTCCGAGTACAGATTCGAGGGATACCAGACAATTAAAGTATATATACGAACACAGAATACAAAAGAAAATAAAAGAAATAACTATTTAAGTTGAAAAGAATTCTAAACAAAAATAATTCTTCCAAAATAATGGATTAAGATAATTTAACTTCCAGTTCCGTACAACTCAGGAATCCGTCTAGTGGACCCCTAATAACCCCAAACGATAAATACATTTACAGAATTAAAAAAACCCGAAACTAAAATAAGAAAGAACATCCTATGTAGTCGGAAGAGTAAGTAATAGTCTCTACTCAGCTCGATCAAGTCTGCGACTGGAACTGTCGAACACCTGAAAAATAGAAGTGGGTCAGACCCACGAACAGGTCCTATCCTACTACAATCCGAACAGAGACTCGATACGCATGTACATCCTAACCAATCCAAACAATAGCTAGATAGTCCGTAGATATATATATATAATCACACTACATGACTCTCACTGGACTACAGGCCCGTCTCAACCTGACTAGAAGACACAATGCAAAACGCACCTGGGGTGGGCATGACTACCTAGACCTAGCAGGGTACGCATCTAACCATCATTGCCAGCTATGCATCCCAATGTATATACGCTCCCTAGCCAACGACTCTGAGACTTAGGCTCATATCGTGGCACCATAAAAATATATTTAAAATCCATTCAGAATCCATAGTAGTGCCACTCAACTGTACGTTGCCTTGACACTTCAAATCCATAGGATTTATTTTAGTTAAATCCCTTCATTAATTTTCAGAGTAGGTAGGACTTAGCGATTTTTGAGCTAATCCCCCTAGTATGTCACCTTCCCATACCGGTGCATACAATCTGTCCATCCAGAAAATAATA